TATTTATATATATATATATATTTTGGTCAGCATGTACAATTTGGTTTAAGTACAAGATCTGAAATAACAGGTGATGAAATAATTTATCTTTTTTCTAACTATTTTCAAAAGTATTAGTTATAATATGACAAGATTATAAACAACAAAGTAAGGGGAGGTTATTTGGCAAAATACTATACAAATTCAAAAATACATAGAATTCTCATTCTGAGCAGTAGGACTGCCTTACTCAATATCCCCAGTTTAAAATTCAAATAGATTCATTAACGGCACATTGTAAACTAGCAGGACATATTTATGTTTGAAATATTTTCTGCAGGAAATATTTAATTCCTATAACTGAAATATATTTAGAGGAGGAAGAAAATCTCATTTTGTTCTATATTTGACAGTATCTTTATATAACTAAATTAATTCCTTCCCCATGATATTTAAATAGGCCTTGAGCTTCAGAAAATGCAATAATGAATGTCTCTTTTCAGTAGTCAATGATTCTGCTACTAAAAAGCCTCTAGAAATTTTTTAAAAAGGAACAGAGAAGGCACACAAAGTATGCCCTCGCTTTTGTTTTCCATAAGTGGTATGCTTACAGCTATGATATAAATTCCGTCTAGAAATCAGCTTCGAGAGGCAAGGCACTTCTAAGGGTTTCAATGTAACATTACTGCAAGTAGAAGTATGTGGACAGCTCAGATCTAGGTGGGGAGATTATTTGCTTACTTGTACTTAGCAATTTTCATACAGCTTATTAAAATAACAAAAAAGCAACTGGAAAACAAAAAGCAACTACTCTTCCTGCCTAGACTGCAAGGAGGCAGTAGCTGTTAGCAGTTCCTGAGGGAAATAGTGGTCAAAGCTACATCACACATTGAAGTGCAGCACAAAATCCCAGTCACTGCCAAATAACCAGCGCAGCCCACCTAACCCATCCGCACTCCTACCTGGGCCACCAGATCCTATGTCCAGACAATGCCCAATGTCTCTCTGCCAGTTCATGAAAAACTACAGAAGGGGCAAAAGATACAAACGAGACTCTGCCACGTGGCTTACCCTTACAGCCAGCGCAGCGAGGGAGGGCAGGTGGGATTCACATCCTCTCCACGTGGAGCTGTGGGACAGAAAGCGTGAACTGGATGCAGAATTAACTCGTGCAGTCTGAGGGACAGCCCAGGCAGGGGAAATCATACACAGCTGCTCGCCGGGTTCAAGGGGCAACTTTTGATTGTTCCTATCTTCACCCTTTTCCTACACAAGGAAAGGAAGGGATAATTCTGTTCAATGGAAAGTATTTTTGTAAAATAATTTATATCTTTTTTTTTTTTTCTGCAGATCACGTTGTGTGTGAAGAAGAATTCAAATATGCTATGCTAGCTCTAAACTGTATATGCCCAGCTACCTCTACATTAATCACACTGCTAGTTCATACATCTAGAGGACAGTAAGTATATACTACCACTTTGTGAAAGTTATAGCTGATATTCTTTGGAAAATAGCTTACCCCAAATTCCCAGACAACTACAGTTTTTAACAAGAAATTGGAACTTTCTGCACAGTAAAAGCAGCACAATGTTTTACTCAAGATACTGTAATTTCAAAGAGAAAAGCCCTCCTCAACCAATATTTAACAATTTGCTGCATGCTGTTGTGCCACTTCCACAACAGAAGATACAAAAAGTTTGTATTTGCAATTTATTAGACTGAATTATGAGTCTATCACACGATTCTACTTAACAACACCAAGAACCAAGAATACTTATTTTAATATGTTAATTTGAAGGTCTATTTCTGTACACAGATAAAAATTCCTCTTCGCTGAACTAAAAAAATTTGCCATTCAGTGTCTGTACATTAAGAAGCAAGCAAACATACACACAAAGAGATGTTTTTGAACACAATAACCACACTGTCAGAAGTGGTACAGAAATGCCGTGTCTCTACAGACTGCATAGTCACAGAGGAACCTAACTATATTTAGCAAAGTAATTTTACTGCATCTAGTATATCTCTGTCATGCTATATTCTTGGAATAATAAGATATTCTTATTAAAATGTTGTAGGCACAGAGAGGCATTAAAAGAGTAGATCTCCAAATATATCTGTAAAAATGGAATATGTGCCTATACAGTGCACAAGAATACATCTGACAGTTTAGTAGAAATGCATACTTTTTTTGCAAGTAACTGTGGACCCAGTAACATCCTGCTATTTACAAGCAGAGTTACTTAACCTTCTGTATGGCATTTGTAGTATTCCCCTGTGCTCAGGATGGGGAAAACTGAAAGCACTGCTAGAACTTTCACTACCAAGAACAACAAATGTCACGATTTTAATGGCACCGTCTGTACGAGAATCTGTTAATAAGACAACAACAAAGTACAGCTTCCACTTCCAAAAATCAAGGTGAAATAAATTCCTCATCTGCCTAGCTTTCATTATCTGACATGTACAGAATAGAGACTTTTGAGTTATTTCATATTATATGTACATGAAAGAAGAGTAGTAGTCTTAAGAGCTAGCAGAGAGTTTTCCATCAACATAAAACCAGAAAGGGACTCTGTTTTCCACTGTATTTAAGAACTCTAGCATTTCATTTTTAATGCAGGCATATTGATCATTTATACGGATTCCCAGCTACAATGCAAAGCAACTATAGTAGAATGTAAAAATATTTCTCTCTTTTGCAGTCAGAATTAATTGATGTGATTCATCTACAGGTTGTCATTGTATTGCAGATATAAAACTGCTTTGGATTTGACTAATTTATAAATCAGAGTAATTGCTTTAGCTTTTCTAGATATTTTCTGATGTAGAGCAATAGATAAATTAACTGGTTGTTAAAATTGCTAATTGGTAAAACAGATTAAATTACCTTGGTGCATATGAAAGATGAAGTCAGATGAACATTTGAGTTTGCCTGAACACAAATAAGTAGATGACGTAAGCTAAAAATAAAAATTTTGACTACACATGCATTTATATCCAAGATAAATACTAAAATAGATGTAACTAACGAAGAGTATTTGTTAACTAGACCTCCAACGCTAACAGCGAACTGCTTTCCTTTACATCAGCTCCTGTTTAATTAACTTTTCATTATCATGGTTACTACCAGCATCTGCAGTAAATGAACAGACTTAGATTATGGGGAGAGTGGAATGAATCAAGTGCTTCCGACCTTGTATAATCTTTCTGAAGTCTCTTCAAAGTCACTGGGAAGATTTTCTTAAAAATTAGTTCAGGTTTCCATTCACAGAAGCCCCATATCTGTCAACTCACAGGTTTAGTAACTTCAATATAGTGACTGGCGGTGTTTCTTCAAGTCATTATCACAGACTACACCAACACCTCTCCATTGCACAGGGAATGACTTTCTTTATTTTTACACAGTATTTCAAGTGCATCGAACCAGAAATGATTCTCAAGGAACTGACCAGAACATTGCTTGCTTTTTGGCATTGCCCTGGTGAAAAGTCATTCATTAAAGGAAAATAAGACCCCTTTCAAGTTCTAGCTTCTCAACATTTGCTATTATAGTGAAGCTATGATCTTAACCTGTGACTCACGTTTTAATGGAATTAAACAGTTCATTGACAGCTCATACGCTGTTCCAAGTGTTTTTTGAACTCTTACAGACAAAGTGCTACCTATACCACAGGGAATCTCTTTCCTATATTTATTAAGGAGTAGTGTGACACTGTTAATAATATAAGCTCATTTCTGATAATCATGAAGATAAGTACACTGGGAAATTACTGGAAGTTGACAGCACTACATAGAAGCAGAACATAGGAAAAAATACTATTTTTTATTAACCTAATTAGAATGATGATACGATAAACAAAAAGAAACACATGTACCTAAATTAAAAACACCTAATCTTCTGGTATTGATGCATGAGGAGACAGGTGAAAATGTTCTTTTTCTAAGCAACTTACTATTAAAATGTTGCTGCTCTTTATGTCTACTGGCTTTTGTCTTTAATGCTACTTTTCACATTAAACAAACCAGATGTCTTTTCAGCTCTTTATAGCAGTCAAAACCTCAGTCTGTAAGATACCGAAATTCTACCTTGGATCTTATTATTGATCTTTAATAATTAAATCTTGACATTTATCTTTAAATGTTACTTAATTATCTAATCTAGTAACAGAACTTTATTAAGGTTTGTTTTATGATCAAAATACTGGAAGAAAATAGCCTGACTTGAACTTAATATGATCTTTACAGAACAGCCCCATGGGAAGCTTTCAGACAACTAACTGGAACCAAGCAGACTTTAAACAGGTGAACATTTAATTTTAGGGGGAAAAGTGAAATATGGACAAATTTTCTTCTGTAATTGTAGATTTGCTATTCTCTACCTAGTGCACTGTTTGTTAATACTGTTGCAATAAAATGATTTACTTATTTCCATCTTGAAACAAAATGTTTCTACACTGACAGTGGAGAAGAACTGTAAACTGAAAAAAACCCAGCAATTGTGTTAGGATACAGAAAACATGTAAATGTGCACAAAGGAGCATATTCCACTGTCTTGAGATCTTAGCTCCAAGTGGTAAAACACGGAGCACATTTGCCTGTTTTATGTCCTACCCGCAGAGATAGATACGCATCCGTTAGATCCACTAAAACTCATGCAGACAGAACCTTGTTTCCATGTGAAACTTAACAAGGGAAGGAGTTCCCAGAAGCCCCAAGTCAGCAATTTTTGGTGTTACCTGAGGTTTGGCACACTTCCACTAACAATCCAGTTGGATAATGAACATTAGCTACATATAGTAAAGGATGATATGCTTTATATGGTTAAAGTAATAATTTTTTTTTTTTTTCGGACTAGGGAACAGAAGGTATATACTTGCCATAGTATACAGCCAGGCACAGTAACTAAAAATGCCTGCAGGGTAAACAGTGAAGGTAACCAATAAGCAAACGTATAAAAAAAAGTCTTGCAGATAAGTGACCAAAGCCAAATGGGTCTTTCCTACCTAAGTTAATAATTCTTTAGCTACTTCAAACAGGAACCAGACAATCTGCCACGGAACATCTGAAGAGACTGCCTTTACGAATAGAATGAGTATGCTGTTGGTTTCACCTGTCATCTTTAAATTCCAATGAATCTACTTATTAGGGTGGGAGTTTAAAGTGATTCAGCCATATTTGTCCTGATATCAAAGTACATAGTCTTAATGTGCCTATTACTTAGCGGAAAATGCTCTTTAATTGATTAACATAATCTCTGTACTTACAGTATTACCAAGCTTTGATCTCAAATATTTCTTTCAGATTAGCCTATGGGAAATTTTTAATAGACATTTGTAGTTTCTATTGCCATGAAAAACTGTTCTGATTAATAAGAATTTCACATGTTTTAAATTATTCTCTTTATCTGTACATGTTTCAGGGACAGTCAGCCATCACCAGAACAATGGCAGAAAATGTATGGCAGATGCTCTGGTAATGAAGTGTATCATATTAACCTGGAAGAAAGTACTTTTTTTGCTGAGTATGAGGGGAAAAGCTTCACATACGCTTCTTTCCACGCACATAAAAAGTATGTTTATTTTCCTATCAACAATTAAGGGTTCAACCAAATAATTGTCTTGCCTGCAATGAAGCTCAGCATTCAGACGTGCGGTATTGCGCATTATTCTATTTCTGGGTTTAAACATCTGGCCACTAGTAGGTTTCATAAACACCATAAAAGCCCATGTTCGTTCTGTATAGGCCAGCTAAGTCTGAGAGAAGAATATCAAGGATAAGCCTGACAACCAGAGAACAAGTGTACCCTAGAGAGATTACAGAAGAACACCCCTTTCCATGTCCCAAACAATCTAGAAAAGGGTGGGAGGGAGGTTATTAGTGCATTTCTTGCTTTGTTTATTTAGGAGTCAGCTGGAAAACTGGCTTCTTTTGTGGCATATTCATTCAATACAAAATGTTCAATTTAAATGTTGTACCTGCTACATTCTGGTGACTGTTCAAAATAAAAACCTTTTTTTTTTATTGGATGCTAACATAGCTTATTTAGGTTCCAGATCATGCATCACTTATTCAGTGTTGCTCTGTGAGGCGAACATACAAACTGAATACAAATCATGTCTATTGGTATATATTTAACAAAATTAATTTATGTTGAACATTGAGTTTCTTCTCATACTTAGTAAGTGAGAGAAAGATTATTTTTCTGGGGCTTTAATTCCTTATTTTATATCACCAATAAAATAATTTCTAGGAGTGAACCACAAAAATGAATTCTGAAAGTGGCTTCCATTAGGTATGAGTAATAGAAAAATTTAACGTGATTAATACTTTTACATATTGTATATCAATTCTTCTACTAATATTTTTCCGGAAGGGATTATTCTTCTGATAGGGGAAAAAAAAAAATCAACGGGAACAGCATTAGAAAAATATTATCAGAATTAAGAGAAACACTGGAATCAAATGCCTAGAGATTTACAAGCTTATAAAAACTGTTTGATCAGAAGCAGTTATTTAGGAGACATCAATTTTCAAACACGTGTCAACCAAAAATCCACAAGCATTCATAACCTGAAAAATATCAAAGATATACTGGAGATTCATTTTTGACAGCGGAGATTCCGGTATATACAGAACTATGCAAAATGAACCATGCCTTTCCTTTTCTAATTAAGGTTTGGAGTCTGTCTGATTGGTGTTAGAAAGGAAGATAACAAAAACATTTTGCTGAATCCAGGTCCTCGATATATCATGAGTTCTACAGATATATGCTTTTATATAAATATCACCAAAGAAGAGAATTCTGCTTTTAAGAAGCAAGAAAAGCACAGAAAAAACCATGAATCAAAATTATCTTATCACGGAGCTTCTAGACTACCCGTACACAGTATAATAGCCAGCATGGGTAAGTTAAAGAAAATTAAATGCTTCATGGCCTATTCTTTTTCAATGAATAGTGCATTTTAAAGCTTTTAACAGTGTATTCCTAAAATCGTAAAGAGGAAATAGCAAACACTTGCCCTCACATTCTCAAAAAAACCCCAAACAACCAGAAACACACATATGGAATTTGGTTATGTGTTTTGGTTTTTTATAACTTGAAATTAAGACAATTAAGATTGCTGTATAATAAAATACTCAGAAAATATATGTAAAGCAAAACAGCTGACAAATATCACATGAGTACTTTGTTATTCATAACTTTTTTTTTGTTACAAGTTTTTGTAAGCTACTTTAATTGAAAAAATGCCCTCGCTCAAGAAAAAACTATACGTTGTTAATGCATGTTAAGTATGGATTAATTTTATAAGGTATGATTTAAAAACATTATTTAACAAGAAAATATCTATATTTTAATGGACAGGAAAAGTACTACTATGCAGGAAAAGGCTTCCTCGGGTATAGCTTAAATATTTGTTGTATTTAATGTACTAAACACAGTCAATTAAGTATTCCTTTCAGTCTTTGGTCAGGTAGTCAGCTAATCCCCACTAGATATGGAAATCTCATTCAAATATTTTGACAACCACATTAAGAAAATGCTTTTAACCCCACTTCAGGGACAGTGGCTATCGATTTACAAGATACAGGATGCCGAACGTCCAGCGGCCCTACGCTAGCTCTTCCCTCCGAAGGGGAAAAAGAGGGCAGACGGCCCAGCATAGCCCCTGTTCTGGAGGTTGCAGACGCGTCCTCGCTTCAGACATGCGACCTCCTAAGTGACCAGTCAGAAGATGAAACTACCGCGTCAGATGATGAAGTCTCTGCAGGCTTAGAGTATGTATAGTAAATATAAAAGCAACAACATTGTTTTGAAAAGCTAATATTACATAAATGGCATGGATAATTTTTTAACATGCAGATCATCCAAGCAGTTATAGGAAGTAAGGTCCCTAAAAGACGACTGTGGAGTTATTCCCTTTTGTGAGATGCTACTGTCTGTTAGCAAAAAGCTGTTACGCCTATTTTGAAATAAATAAATAACAAAACATATTGACTTCTCCATTTGCTCTACATTTTCTGTACTCTGTTATAAAGATCTAGTTGTGCATTGCAGTTGTTAATAGCATTTTTTATGACCTTTTTTTTAACATTCTATAATTATAAAGAGAGAAGTCAAATAATTTGTAAATGAATAAGTACTTCTGTCCCGAGAACACAGGGATAATCAGATCATTCAACAGGCTTGTTGAGTGGTGGGGCTAAGCGTCTGACTTCAGAGGGTAGGAATGACAAAAAAGCAGTCTGAGACAAAATTAATACATCTAATTCAAAATGTTTGTTAGCACATTACTGGAATTAACGATGCATTACTCAGATAAAAACAGAACACTCAATCCTGTAAATGCCATGCAGATAAGCAATTATGTTTACTGACAGGGGTGTTAAAACTGAAATACACGATTCAGCCAGCAGCTCACCTAGCAGTTTCCCATCTCCAACAGTGGCAGGCATGAGAAGCCTGAGGGAAGATCATAAAGCTCCAGCAAAAAACACAATAGAACAAATCAACCTAAATGTGCAGACTGAAATACCAGGGTTTAAAAGGCCTCTTATTAAAAACTAAGGCAAATTAGAAATTTCATCTCATCACCAAGATGATTCGCCATTTAAAATTTATTCCAAGCACACTGAAAGCATGTTATTAAAGCTCATTTTTGGTAAGTGTTTGAAAGAAAAATGGAGAAGGAAGAAGCACAAGTACCACAATTATATTAATTTTCTTCCTTTTTAAACTTCCTTAGTTTCCAATACATGCATTCAAAACACTAGGACAGACCAGTGATACGAAAAAAAACCCAAACAACTCAAAGCACAATTTATTTAGTCCACAAAAACATGATAGCTTTCACAGACTTCTATCAGACTAGTCAAAGCTACAAAATATGTTGCTTTGATCCTTATTAAACACAGTCCGTTTCATGTACTTGACTCTGCTCATCTACAGATAACTGCAGAAATTGATCACAGATATAAACATCCTAGAAAAATAGTTGTATAGTCAACTGCGTTTCAGTAATTTGCTAACTGAAAAACGTTTGGTCTGTTCTCCTAGGTATGCCAAAGGCTACCCTCCTTACTCGCCATATATCGGAAGCTCTCCCACGTTTTGTCATCTTCTGCATGAAAAAGTACCCTTCTGTTGTCTGAGACTAGATAAGGTAAAAGGAGCTTCTGCAGATAAAACTGCATTCTCATTTCTCTCTTGCATCTGAAAAGAGTCAAATTTTGGTTTCCAGTTAAAAATAAGGTTTATTCAGCAGTTACTAAGCTGTATTTTCTCATCGTTTTCAACACCAGTGTGGGTTTATGTCTAATCAAGTCTGTATCAGGTCATCTGGTAGAATTTTTTATTTCCAATGGTAAAAGCCTTTTATGTCATAGCTAAATCTCTTTATTCTTATCCACTGAACTTGTTTCTTATTTTGATTTTAGGGATGCCAACATAACTACTATGAAGATGCCAAAGCTTATGGATTCAAAAATAAATTGATTATAGTTGCAGCAGAAACTGCTGGAAATGGCTTATATAATTTTATTGTTCCACTTAGAGCTTATTATCGACCTAAGAAAGAACTAAATCCCATTGTATTACTCCTGGATAACCCGTAAGTAGATTTTATCTTTTTGTGTGTGATAATGTTGAACTTATTTTACCATTACTTGAATAGATGATCACTCTTCACATGGCCGACTTAAAATCAAAAACATTATGGCACATTGATTTTTGAGAAAAGTTGGTGACAAAATAATACCCTGTATTCACTGTCATATGTAAAATCGATTTTTACTGACTGTAAATGGCAATAGTAAATCTAAATGTTCTAATTCTTCATGGATGATATTTCAGCTGTTTCTTAAGAATACCACAAATACTGTGAATATTACTACTAAAATTAAATAACTGTATAAACACTGTAAAAACCCAAACTGAGTAACAGTTTCACAGCTACATGATAACACCAGAGACAACACTTAACCTGCTTAAGGTGCTTAGTAGCCTGCACTCATTAGAATTTGAAATTATTAAAAAGATACTGAAAATACACTGTTCTTTAAGCCAGGAGGACTTCACCACACACACATACTTTGTCTACAAAGTCCTGAAAGAAAGTTAAAACATGCAATATTGCTACTACCATATCTGCCTGGAGATCACTGGAATTCTGAGCCTTTCTTGCACCAGCTCTTTAAAATTCCAGACAAATTCTTCTCTGGCAAGACTTGATTCACTTCTAATCTTGCAATAAATGAAAACAAATGTTTTGGGGTTTCTTTTGCAACACTTTGGTACTGCTCAGGTACTACAAAATCACAATTTGGAAGACACAAAACTGGAGGTTAGCTGTATACCGAAAATTAGATCAAACTACAGCTCAAACAAATGAGAGCAGCAGAAATGTATAGGTTCCAATTCCAGGCTGACACTTCCCTTTGCACATACTTGTTCTAGTTTAGGTGATTTATTACAAAGATCTACTGTGAAGTGTCCTGCTTTTGCCTCAGCTCCTTACTGAAGCTATATACATCTGTGTTTGAAAAACAGAAGCTTCTTTTCTTTTTTTTTAAATGTAGATATTACGGCATAAAGTGAATCACACAGAAAAGCTGAAATTAGGCTGACGGACTTCTGATCGTGCCGCTTTCAGGATTTTTAAGAGCATACAGCGCTCTCTAGTGGTTTTTCTCTTTTCCAGCATAACGCCTGATTTTGCACACTTTAATACTGCTAAAGGCACTTTTGTTTAGCATAAAGTTATGGCTGTGGCTGCTAATTAAACTAATAGCCTCAGCTTTCTCTCTCTGCGCAGCATTCGCAGGGACTCCTCCGAAAGGGCAGCGCTCGCGGGGTGCAGGAGCCAGCACACGTTTCCCACACTCGAGGTGCAATTCAGGCCGTCCTTCCAGGCAATCGCAATTTTGGAATTTACTTCATCGGGCTTAGTACCTCAGCCCCTTGCAAGGAACATATCCGTGCCTTGTTGTTATTTTCCCATTTCCTCTGCTTATCAAGGCACGTTATTACAGGATGCTTATTCTGGTATCTACACATCACATGTTTATGGTCTCCGATGTTTTTTTGTATAAAAGCAGAAACGCTGTACAATTTAAGATTTAAGAAACCACACAATAAAATACAGCATCTTGGTTTTCACTTTTGATTTTAAACATAAGGTTTAATCCAGGATTGTCTTATTGACTTGAATGGAGCTGTTGGCACAAAGCCCAAATGATTATTTGGTTTCCACTTCACATTTTTTAAAAGTTCTCACTGCTCAGTTTAAGTGCTCCTAAGTCATGCCCTGCAGAATAACTTGGATGTCAAAGCCACCACCTCCATTCCTTTATTTGGAATTCTACTGTGTCATAACATTTCTGATTTAAGAGGTGCATTTATTAATATAAGCATGTTAATTCTGATCATTCCTTATGATCACAGCAAACTGTTGTTTCACAGCTTCCTGCAAACCTATCTCCTGTTTAAAGTGATATTATACCGTCAAAGTTTTAAAAAAAAAAATATTTTTTAAAAAAGCTACAAGTTTCTTTTAATATTTTTAGAAGAGATGTTGCTGTTGTGATATTGTGTTTCATTTTGTAATCCCATCTGCTGC